TGGAGAAACTGGAACCCTTATCCATTGTTGGTGGGAGTGTAAAATAGTGCAGCCACTCTGGAAGGTGATATGGCGCTTTCTCAAAAAGTTGGAAATAGGAATACCATTTGACCCAGCAGTTCCACTACTGGGAATATACCCTAAAGCTTAGCTAGAGTAACATGAGGACTGAAGTTCGGACAACTTAAACTTGGTGTGTTCTCTCATTACTAGAGTTATGTAGTACCTCAGGCAGAGACAGGTGGCGTAATCCTTAGGGAGATGTTTTGCTAACTGAAAGGTGACACTTCTCTGCTGGTTCAAATCTACTAGCCACTCTGTAGGAGAAAGAGAGGCAGTCTCCTCCTGTGTGATTTACAGCCTGAGAAAAGTCACTGGAGGTCAGCTATGTGCTCATTTTAAATTGACAGGAATATTGTTGTTATGTGCCATCAAGTAGGGTATGACTCAAAGCTGCTTTATGAACAACAGATCTGAGCCTTGGCTGATCCTGCTCCATCCTGATTATCTCTAACATTTGTGTGTCCTCCAGCACCTTGCTGCAGTCATTGTGTCAACCTATCTCACTGAAGATCTTCCTCTTTGCCAACCCTCCACCTTTCCAACAAGTATAATATTGTTATTATGTTGATATTGTTGTTATATTGGTATTGTTATGTTCTGTTGAGATGACCCATATTGACACTCTGGACAGTGACTCTGAACCTTGTCCTATCCTGAGCCACCAGCACAGTCTCTGACACACTTGACCCCATTGTCACAGTCACTGTGTCAATCCATCTCATCTAGTATCTTCTTCTCCTGTCCCAGCCCTCTACCCTTCTGAGCATGATGTCCTCCCAGGACTGATCCCTCTTGGTGACATGCCCGAAGTAAGTGAGATGGAGCTTCAAAATTCTTGCCTCCAGGGGAGGGGTTTGTGGGAATTGTGCAACAATGAATGAAAAAAAGAGAAAGGGGGAAAAAAATCCTTGCTTCCAAGGAGCAAACTGATTTCACCCTCTCCAGAACAGACCTTTTTGTTCTCTTGGCAGTCCATGGTATATTCATTATTCTTCTCCAGCACCACAACTCAAAAGGCTGAAAATATACATACATACATACATACATATATACATACATACATACATACATACATACATAATCTCTCCCTAGCCTCACAGCATTTTTATTTGTTTTGAACCTTTGCCATTGTTGCTGGAATGAGACATTTTAGCTTTGGTTTACATCGCTCTAGGAAGCCATACTGGCACAATGATTAAAGTGCTTAGTTGCTAACTGAAAAGTTGGTGGTTCAAATCCACCAGCTGTTCTGCAGGAGAAGGATGTGGCTATCTATTTCTGTAAAGAAAACAGCTTTGGAACTGCGTCATTCTCCTCTGTCTTACAGAGTTGTTGTGAGTCAGCATAGATTTGATGGCAACAGGTTTAATTTCGTTTTAATGGCTATTGATCCAAAGTATATTTTCATGTGTGTATTAGGCATTTGAATGTCTGCTTTGGTGAAATACCTGTTCATGTTCTTTGCCTCTTTTTTTTTTTTTTTAAAAAAGTAATTATTTGGGGTTTTGTTGTTGTTGTTGTCATTGTTGGTGTGTTGAAGTCTTCCATAAATTTAGAAGTTAAGTCCCAGTTAGATACATTGTAAATTTTTCCCCTCCATCTATAGATTTCTTTTTGTTGACTTATTTTTTAGGAGGTACTATTTATTTCATCTGTATTCTGTTGTTTGTGGACTTTGATAGTCTATGCCATAAATTCGGGCTCTGAGGCTTATTAAGTTCCTTTCTTCCAAAGCAACGGAATACATGAGTTCATGACTTGTGAGCTACCCCTCATTTCCCAGCCTTTTGTGCAGTTCGAAATGCACATTTTCTTCAATGAGATGGAATAGAATTGATGTATGCTGCTTCTACATCTGGTACCTAAAACCTCCTGCGCGTGCTTCTCAGTGTTCTTCTTCTGTGAGCCAGGTTGGCATAATGAGAGCAGTGCTTGATTCCATGTGTTGGAAAATGTCAGAGTCACCCTCAGCCTTAGTTTCTGCATGACAGTCCTGTACCCTGGCAGCCTGAGTACCCGCCTCTAAGAGAGAAGTCATTTTGTCTTTCTCTGATACTGTTACAGTCCTGTTGTTACTATTTTCATAGTGATGTTAGCCTATTATAATTTAAATTGTAACTAATGCAGATTGCTTATATGTGTTTATGAAGAAAGCAAGGAAATCATTATTAGAAAAGTAAAAATGTTAATAGGCCTTTAGGGTGGAGGAAGGAGAATGTCATTCATACAAGTACAGTTTTTGAGTCAGTACTAGACAATATATTTAAAAGTTCGACTAAGTATATTTAGAATAAATAGACAGTTCCTACATTTACTTAACATTTTTTTCATCAACAGAATTTGAGAATATTCATTTCTCTTCACTTTTGCCAACATTAGATAACATTGTTAAAATTAATCTTTGTTCCAAATTGTGAAAAATAGTATATCTCTTAATATGCACATCTTGAACTTTATTTTTAAAAGGCAATTGTAACAGCATATTAGAAAAATATCCCACCATCCTAAATACAACTGCTTTTTTGGTTGCGTATGTTAATTTTTAACATTTGTAGTTATTGTTCATTTTTCCCTTTAAACCTTTTTTTGGCTTTTGTTATGCATGTGATGTATGTAGTTATTTGCTGTGATGCTTTCATTTTGTCATAATTAAAGCCATTTACTGCTTCATATATAATCACTATTATCAATTTCGTTTATCTCCTTTCAGAATGTTCTAAGTTTCATTCCAATGTAGTACATACTTTAAGTAATATATAGTTTTGTTTTATATATAAATATCATTTGCTCTTGATCTTTATAATTTTTTTTCACCCATGGACATTTTATAACCAGTTTTACAGTTTCATTTTCTCTTGTGATTCTCTTTATGGTAGATCTCTTAACATGAAATAATTAATCATAGGATATACATACTTCATATTTGTACATTTAGAGCGTTAATAGTACAAGTACAACTGAACACATTAGATCCCATAGGAGTATATCAAGGGGATCTGGTGATACACTGCATAATGAGCTGTGCCGTTCACCAAAGTCAACGCTTGGCGTCTGCGAGCTGTGCCAAGGGAGAAAGATGGACAGTCTCTTCCCGTTAAGATTTATAGCTTTGGAAACCTGATAGAAGGTGACTAAGGGTCAGAACTGACTCTATAGCAGTGGGTAGTAATGTACCAGAATATCCTTGTCCATATCATCATCTTTCAGTATTACTAAATCTTTCAATTTCACAGATTTGTTCTGTAAAATAATCTTATTGCTTTATTGTTTGCTTCCCTGATTGCTGGAATAGTTTAATATTTTCATTAGCTGTTTAGGGGCTTTTGAAGGATTCATTCATGTTTTTGTGCCTGTTTTATCTTTTATCATACTAATATAAAAGATTTCTGAATATATTCTTAATATTTACATTTGGATACTTTATTCGTGATACTTTTTTTCTTAGCTTTTAATTTTAAAAAGTTTTGTTAATTGTATCTTACATGTAGAGGCTTTTAATTTTTCATGTAGTCATTCATTAACCTTTTTCTTTAATGCATTTGAGTACGTTTCACTGTCCTAGGTGACAAACATTCTGTATTCCTTCAATATTTTTGTATATAAAATACATTTTTTTGAGATAGAGTTTTAACATTAATTTTTTTTCTCTATAGGTAAGCAGTTGTCCTAAAGCGTTATAGAATAATCTGTATTTTTCCGACTGATAAATGATTACTATTGTTAAAACTACTTTTCAAGGCCAAATCTATTTCTGTGCTCTCTTCTATTATATTGCTCTATTTGTCTTATGTATTAACAAAACTTTTAATTAATGTACCTGTATATTTTGTGTCCTGATAGAGAAGTTCTCACTTAGTGTTCCTTTGTAGACAAATCAAAGCCATATCTAGAACTCAGGGAAGTCTGGAAAGGTAATACTTGAATTAGTTCTTTAAAAATTGACAGGATTTCAGTAAGTAGAAATGGAAAAAAGAGCCTATGTGGGAAATTAGAAATTCCACCCATGTTCTCTGAGTCACAGATAATTTAAGTCCAGATTGTTCAGAGCCTTCAGTGCAATATAAGGCATTTAGCTATGCACTGAGGATGACAGAAGAATTAATGGCTTTGAACTGTGGTACTGGAGAAGAGTATTGAACTGTACCATGGACTGCCAAGAGATTAAATGGGTCTGTCCTGGAGAGGGTGAAAGTAGGTTGGTCTTTGGAAGCATGGATTTTGGAACTTTCTCACATACTTTGGGTATGTTTCCAGGAAAGACCAGTACTTAAAGACATTATTTTTCAAAGGGGAGAGGGTCGTCACAAGAGAGGAAGACCCCCGGATGAGATGAATTGACACAGTGACTGTGCCCCTGGGATCAGGAGTGTCAGAGGCAGTGAGGTTGGCTCAGGATAAGCAAAGTTCAGAGCCGTTGTTCATAGGGTTACTTGATGGCACATAACAACATATACACAGAAAATTTGGTTGTCAAAAGAAAGGATAACAATGGCATCCATAGTAAAATGTTCATAGGCTAAATTTCACAAGCAATCCCCATACAACTTTAGTGATGAATAATATTTTAGGGCCAAATCTTATTTTCTAATACTAGTATTGATTGCTTACTTATATTTATGAATGGGGTTGCTGAATTTTAGTGTGTTATAGTGTCTTTTTCTCGAAGTGTCCTTGTACTGTTTTGAAGCTTTGATGCCTTAGTCCTTAGGAGTTGTGCTGCAAACCCATTGTGTAATGAGACCCTCTCTAGTGGTTTGAATACATGAGCATCTCCAAGGGAGAAAGAGGAACAGTCTCTTTTCATGCAGCTTCAGAAACCCAATAGGAGGGTCATTTATGAGTCGATTCCTACTCAGTGACAATGAGGTTTTGGAGGTTATTACTGGTTTTAGTTACACCACTTTAATGGTGAATTCGGATTTTTTTTTTCTCTACAGAAAAACCATGCCAGATGGATCATCTGGACCGAATCCTTCTGTCTGGCATCTATAATGTACGCAAGGGAAAGACCCAGCTGCATAAGTGGGCTGAACGCCTAGTTGTTCTTTGTGGCACCTGCCTCATTGTTTCTTCAGTGAAGGATTGTCAGACTGGAAAGATGCACATTTTGCCTCTGGTTGGGGGAAAGGTAAGACTCATAAGGATGAGTTATTCTTCATTTGATTCTCTCAGTTAAACTGCCTCATGTACTCTCATAGCCGTTTTCCATCTTTTTAAAGAGACTTAACATGAATTATTAAAGATTTAATATTTTCGTTTTCTAGAGTATTTAGGCTTACATAAGAGAAACCAACTCAGTCTGATTTAAGCAAGAAAGGCTTGTTCTCTCCAGGCTCTCTGGGAGGGCCTCACCATGCCCATAATGCTACACAAGAATGGGCCTGTTGAGGACACCCCTGCCTCTGTTTCTGGGCACTAGATGCTGTTTCCTGCAACATTGAGAATAGACAGAATGCTACCACTGAAACCCACATCTGACAACCAGAAGTAGTTGCCAGTATCTATCATCAAAATAGATTCTCCACAGTTTCTCTTTGCCCCTTTTGATTAAAATTCAGAGTCTCGGGTTGTCATAAACCCTTTTCCAGCAACCAGGGAAGCACGGAAGCGAGGATTTGCTACTTTTTGATCTAGAGAAAGAGACTTCACCATCATAGAAAAAGAGTTCACTCCTTATAACAATCAATCCGGCAAGATCAGAAGCACAGCATTTGCTCAGAGGTAAAGCTCAGAAGGCAGGAAAAGGTGAGAAAAAAGAATGAATAAAATAGGAAACACAAGGAGCAAGTAGAAAGGTTATTAATCTAGGGATTGTAATCAGTCATGAATCATCACGAGTATGGATTGTTGAAAAGAAACCAAATTTGCTTTCAACTCAACAATAAAAAGTTAAAATAAATTGAGATGCTAATAAATTGATCAAGATTACTTTAAACAGATATATCTCTATTTATAAAACCAAACTTAGCCCCACTGCCTTCGAGTCAATTCCAGCGCTTGGAAACCCTCTGTTGGGTTTCTAAGGATGTAAATCATAGTGGGAACAGACTGCCTGATCTTTCTTCTGCAGAACAGCTGCTGGCTTTGAACTTGCCAGCTTTTCAGTTTGCATCCCAGTGCTGAATCTGCTAAGCCATAGACTACACAATTCCACTTCTACTGTTCTTATCATTTAGACTTGAATATTATAATGCAATCTAGATACAATAGCATTACGAGATGGAATGATTGTGACTGCATACTTTTAAGTGTTGTTGTTATTGTTAGGTGCCATCAAGTTGACTTCTACTCAGAGCAATTCTATAGACAAAAGACTGAAACCCTACCCAATCCTGTGGCACACTCTTGATCTCCAGTGTGCGTAAGACTTTTGTTGGAGTTATTGTGCCAGGCCATTTCATTGAGGGTCTTCCTCTCCTTCACTGATCCTCTACTTCTCCAAGGATTGGCCCTTCATATGCTTGTAGTATATGAGACAAAGTTTCACTGTCCTTGCCTCTAAGGAGCACTGTGGCTGCGTTTCTTCCCAAACTGATCGTTTATACTTTGAACAGTCTATGGTCAGTGCAGGACTCTTTGCTAACACCACAATTCCAAGGAATCAATTCTTTTTTAGTGTTCTTTCATATTCATATGAAGCAGTTAAAAGTACTGTGACTTAAGTCAGGCGCACTTTAGTCTTTATACCGAATTCACAGCAATATAAATAAGATATATGGTAAAAATAAATAGATAAAAAGGATGTCTTTATCTATATCATAATGTTGGACAAGATGATTACTTGATGCCAGAGACTATGGTGATATTTTTTTTCCTCTTAAAAGAAGGCTGGGGGAAAAATAGTTGCTAGCAATGACTATAGCTAAGGCTTGTTGCTAACTGCAGTCCTAGGCAGGTGGGAAGATTCAGGTATACAGCCTGTGACCAGGAAGTAAACCCAGTACCCAGTGACTTAATGAACGGTTGTGTATAATTTTAGTATCAACCATGGGACGGTAACCCACCTCTATATACGTGACTGGTTCTGGTTTTAGAGGTTGAAGGGGAAAATGTAAAAGTTAAGTAGAATTTCTAGAAAGGGGTGAGGGATGATAGGAGTTGAAGTTGGTAGAGAGGAACTGGAAGACAAAGCAAGAAAGAGAATGAACTCTCAGTAAAATGAACCTTTAACCCAAATTTAAAAAACTTCTTCTGGTGGCCTAGTGGATAAGGAATTGTTCAGCCAACCCAAAGCCAAGCGGTTTGAATCCACCAGCTGCTCTCCAGGGGAAAGATGGGGGATCTCCTATGTGATTTATAGCTTCTAAAAACCTGTTCAAGTGCTCGCTTCGGCAGCACATATACTAAAATTGGAACGATACAGAGAAGATTAGCATGGCCCCTGCGCAAGGATGACACGCAAATTCGTGAAGCTTAAAAAAAAGAAAGAAAAGAAACCTGTTCAAGGGTCAGCTATGAGTCAGTTTAAACTTAATGGACTATAACAAAAACAAATATCTATTGACTACCTTTATAAAAAGCCCAGGAAATGTTTGCATACATTTAGAATAATTTTTGAATGATTATCAGGGATAGGAAGGGATTGACAATTGTAGTGAAAATTAATAAATAAGTTTTTGTTGTTGTTGTTGATCATCTTCAAGTCAAGCACGACATATAGCAACCCTATGAACAAAAGGCCTAAAGCCCCTCTACAACTACCAACATTTATCAAAGTTCATAGAGTTTTTGGATGCATGTTGTTTAGGAAGTGGATGCCACTCCTGCTTCCCGAATAAATAAGTTGAGTGAAAGAAATACAATATACAGTAAAGAATTAATCAGATGATATAATTAATTACGTTAATAATTTGTAATGAATATAAAATGTGTGCAAATGCTTAAATGAAAAACTAATACAATTTGTTAACTTTCACTTTAAAAAGTATTGTTAAGAATGAACATCTACAGCAATCAGGAGATAAACTCACTTTACAACTTTTATTTTGTGTGTATATCTGATTTGTGTGAATGTTTACAAGCAAATTGATTTTCCATTCACAATTCATATACATTTTGTCTGACAACATTAATTACAATATCCACAGTGTACTGTACTATCCTACTTCATTCCTTTTATATCTCATTTCCATTAATCCTTTTGCTTTCTTGGTACTGGGGCAAATGCTGTGCTTTCGGCCTTACTTGGTTGGGTCTTGTAAGGAATGAGTGCCTCCTTGGTTTTATTGTTCAACTTTTAGGCCCATCATTTAACTGAAAGTTGAGTCACTGGGGTGAGTTTTGTTCTGATTGAAAGGGTGACTAAGAACTAAGGCAGAGTCTTAGAGGGTGCACTGATCTCTTTCAGACCAGTGAGCCTGGTCAGTTTTATGTTTTTAAGTTTTATTACATATTTCCCCCCTCTCTCTCCAGGACCTTTAGAGTGCCTAGCTGTGGAAGCTGGGCACCATCTAGTTCTGCTAGTTTTAGGGTCATGAAAATTAAGGTTCAAGCAGTCATTAGTCTATTAAGGTTCAAACTGTCCATTAGTCTTTTGAACTAATAGTGTCTGTACATGTTTGCTTTTCTTCCTTCTTTGTTCCAGACAGGGAGAAACCAATAGTTGCACCTTAGATGACCAGAAGATTAACTCATTTTGAATTGAAATGGATCTAAATGAAAATCCTGAAATTAATTTAAAATTGATGTGCTTCAATACAATAGGATGGATACAGTTGGGGTTGGGAGAGAGGGGAAAAAAGCATGGATACTGCACTGGAATAGGTGAAGGGAAGGACTAAAAGGAATGGACAGTTGGACATTGTATGTGTGACAGTTAAAAATCTGGAACAAAACAAGCATTACAAAGTGAGTGGGAGAAGGAGGAAAATGTGTGTGTATGAATGAATGAAAATCAGTCTCCCTGTCAAGTTTCACTAAAATCACAATTTTAAAAAGTGTATAAAGTTTTAAATTAAAAAATCATGAGATGTTTATAAAATAAAAGAAAAAAAGAGAGAAAAAGAATAAAAGGATATACAGAAAAGAAATTGTGAAGCAGAAATGAATGTGGAATAGTGTATTACAACATTGGAAATAAAAATACAGTTTCTTAGTAAGACACAAAGATAAAATTAGTGAATTTTGAAATACGTCTTTTCCACCTGAATACAGTAGAATTTTGTTCAGAGTAGCAGTATGTGCAGATCAGAAATTCTATCGTCCAGTTGTTTCTGCAGCTCATTGTGGCTAGTGAGAAGATAGATACTTCTTGGAGATAGGACATGTTCAATTCCACACCCCTGAAATAAAACCAGATAGCAAAATAAACGGGGTCACAAAAAATATTTGGTTTCTTCGTGCATAAAATGTTGTGTTTCCACTATATTGTGGTTTGCTAAATGTGTATTAAAAACCAGATCCACTTCCCTCAAAGTGATTCTGACTCAGAGTGGCCCTCCTTTGGGTTTCTGAGGCTGTAAACCTTTCTGGGAGGAGAATTGCAATAGTGGAAAGATTTGCTGACCTTTTAGTTAGTCGTGTACTTCCATGGTACACTTCCCCACCAGAGCTCCTCAAGTGTACGATATAACATTATGAAAGTGTTTAAAATATTATGAGAATAACCAAAATGTGACGTAGAACATGAAAAGAGCACAACCTGTCAGAAGAATAGTGCTGCTAGACTTGCTGTGTGGATGATTGCCGCAAACTTTCAGTTTGTAAAAAAAAAAAAAAATACCTTGTCTACAAAATGCAGTAAGGTGGAGCTCAGTAAAACGAGGTGTGCTCATTAACTAGAAGTTTCGTGATGGTGCTTTTAAAATGAGCCAGTCTTTTATGACTTGGCCCTTTGCCCTGCTGTTTCTTCCTTTATGGAACACAGTCATCTTGGAAGTGGAGCAGTCATATGGTGATTATGAACTGACAAGCATATGCCAGGAATGACTGAGTGCAAAGTAGAAAAACAATGTCCGTACCAGCATTATGGAGCTTTGTACTAGTCCTGGGATGACACTTCTTTTTTTTTTTTTAAAAAAACAACCCTACTGTTTTTCTAGGTTCTAGTAATAATTGAATATAATTAATTGATATATTGAAGAATTGCACATCATTATACATCAACATAAGAGATTTAAAGTGAAGAGA